TAATAAAAAATAAATAATTACATAATAAAAATATACACATCTCTCAAATTTTATGATGCATTTATTTCTGTAATTATATTATTTTCCACACTAGAGTTTACAGATGTGACAATATCATTGTGCATGCATAATTTGAAAATAAAATTACATACGAAATTACTGATGAGATTATATTATGAAATTCTATAATTTAATACGCAAAATGTTTTGTTTATCAAAACATTTGCTTCTGTTTCATCTCGATTACGTACAAATTTATATTCTAGCAACCACCGACATATAGCATTGGCACAGCATATACAGTAGTGCAACTCCCTGTCGATACATGACGTAAGGCCGATATTACATTTGTCGTACGACAAACTTTTTAAGCGCATTGATTAGCTAATTTTTAGAAATTCAAGAAAGTTTCTATTTTGCAGCCAATCAATATGCTTAAAAAGTTTGTCGTATGACAAATGTAATATCGGCCTTAAGGTGCCTTTACATGGCAGCGTCAAGCGTCGAGCGTCGAGCGTTAAGCGTCTGCGCAGAATATTGTTGCACAGAATTACATTTATATCATTTATTTTATTATGTAATAGCAGAGAGAAGAATGAGAGTCGCCACGCTGCCGTTTTTCGTGTAACGCTTTTTCTAGGTCGTACACTAGCGTCACGTACATCCATTTTACGCCGCCTGGAACTACATGGCCACATCCATTTTCGGAGCCGATAAAACAGCCGATTGGTTCATGTCCGTGCTACATCCACTTTTCGATTTTGGTTCATGTCCGTGCTACATCCACTTTTCGATTTTGGTTCATGTCCGTGCTACATCCACTTTTCGATTTTGGTTCATGTCCGTGCTACATCCACTTTTCGATTTTGGTTCATGTCCGTGCTACATCCACTTTTCGATTTTGGTTCATGTCCGTGCTACATCCACTTTTCGATTTTGGTTCATATCCGTGCTACATCCACTTTTCGATATTGTCGATGCTGGTAGTACACTGATCGTTTGACAAAGAGAGATGATGCGCTGTCTTTGTCTCTCTTTCATCGCGTATGTGTGTAGCGTCCGTGAAGGCATACACCGACACGTTGAGCACACGGATGTGATTGTTGGGAGATAATGTCAGACAAGGAGCGACAATCTCGTGCTATCCTTGTTCCTCTAGCGTATCGCTTTACGGCCGAAATACGGCCTGAAAATGCTTTCTGGCCTCTCGTGACAGCAGTAATGCAACAAGGCTAATAAGCGCCCACTTTATAAGAATTTTATACTTGCGTATATACATATGTAGATATATATGTTTAAATTATAGTTAAAATTGTATCTGCAATTAAATATTGTATGATGATCAATAATACTAGGATAATAGATAACAAAGTGAATAAATACAAAATACGTCAGACGGATGCCTGCTAGACTTGATGATTTGTTGCTTTGTTACTATCGATACTCCGTGTATCATAATCTTGATTTCCATTTTTTTTTCTTCTGTAAAAAACTATATAATATATATTTTATAGATTATTGTATATATATAAAATGAAAATAAACTATTTTTATTTGTAATATGTAATTATACTTTGATAAAGACATAAATATTTTAAACATATTTCTTAAAATATAATCACATTTAATAAATAAATGTATGTAATAATGTATGATAAACTTTAAAAAATAGTAAAAAAAAAATCGCTCGTATTTGAACCCCGATCTGCGTCGTGAGAGACCAAGCGTTTTCCAATCATCCACCGCGCACTATTGAAATAAACATCAATGTTATCGGTACTTGTAGTATATTTACGTAAGATTATGTTAATTCCTTTTTAAATTAAAATTATTATTTAGCATTGCTCTTTTCGATTTATACTCTTTGTTTTAAGAATGGGAAAGGGAAAAACAATTTTTAATACAGATATCTTGCACGATATAAAAAATATAATTTTATTGTATATAATGTTTAATGAAAATTATAACACGAAACAGAGTATGTCCTTTTCTACGTGCATCTTTACCCACACTCCTTAAATAAAGGCAAATGCTCGGTCTAGATATACTATGTCTATGATCGCTGCCCTGCTATCGAAAGATGCGTTCGAAAATCCTATTCGTGGGATAGAGTATCATTAAATTGTCCAATCAGAGCAAAGAAATCTTTTTCTCTATCGTTCTGACCAATCAAACGAATCGAAACTTTTCTAGAATCAAACGGAACACATCTTTTGTAGCTGCACTATATAGGGTCCGTTTTTTATAGCTGAACTGGCTGCACTAGTTCAGAGTTTATCTTTTTATCTCCCCATTGGAAGGAGAAAGATAAGCTCTGAACTAGTGCAGCCAGTTCAAATATAAAGAACAGACCTATACCCTCTTTCTGCATTTAAAATGAAATAGATATATATATTGAAGCGTTAGAAAGAGAAAAAATGTATAGGAGACGTGCAGCTACAGAAAACAAGGCTGTTATTTTTAATTTTTGGTAATATAGTGCAATATTTAGTGTTGTAAACGAAAAAACGTTATTTTATCAACGTTAATATCAATAACGTTGCTTTCTTCATCTTTTCATCGATTTTCAGAATCGCAAACCGAGGGTCGTTAAATCACAAATATTATTAAGTGCATTCAGAAATTGCTGCCAGAGAGGAAAATGATGGAAGAAGTCATGGTGTAAGTAACAAGGTGTGCTACTGCGCAGGCATTTCTACTGACCAATAAAGCCCGTTCTACATTGATCGCATGTCGCCAGTCGCAAGCAAATCGACCAATCACAGTCGATTATTCCGTCGAATATTCGACTGTGATTGGTCGATTTGCTTGCGACTGGCGACATGCGATCAATGTAGAACGGGCTTAAGAGAGCGTGACAAGATTCCGCCATCTTGTATAATTTTGCTTGCTTTGTATGGGGTTGGCACCGGCGAATACTCGCCATACGGCCATAAACTGGTATAGGTATTATATAGGATAATGTATGAAAACCTCTTTTTGAGGCATGTGTGGGAGAATGGGACCCGAGCGGAATCGAACCTGGAATCTCTCGATTACTAGCCCGATTACTACTCTATGCCCGGCGTCACGCATCGCCCCGATTCTTGTATAATTTAAATGAATATTAAAATGAAGATTCGGACAAGAGAGAATTTTAATGAAAGATCTTTCGTGTGTAATTATAATTATGGTGAATATATTTTTAGAAAATAATAAATATGTATATTAACATAATTATATTTATTTTTTCATTATTTTATTTTTTTCCTTTTTCAAATATATTATTAACAATTTATCTGTATATATTTTTTATTAAAATACATTGGCCGCGTTCAGCAGAGAAAGCGCTCAGCTATCGTCTTGTCAACACTCGACGTTGATTCGTTGGTTCTAAAAGTAAGAACCAATCACATTCGTTTGCTACTAAGCAGTTTTCTTTGCTGAACGCGGCCATTTATCGTCACGCGTGCGCATGCGTAAGTGACGTCACAGCTATACGTCACGCGTTACCACAGATGTATCTAGCTGCAACGTTTAGGTGCGTATAAGGGCCAATTTCACCAAGTCCGGTTAGATTAACCGACGGTTAAAATTAGCAGGGTTCCAACTGAAATTATATGAATGCTTGGTTTTCCTTTACCTCTATTTTCTGTTGGCCACTCTGCTAATTTTAACCGTCGGTTAATCTAACCGGACTTGGTGAAATTGGCCCTAAGGGTTTCCGCGTAGTTTTCTCGCGTCTTTCTAGTAATGAAGTGATAACGCGTGTAGTGTGTCGTATTATCTTTAATAGAAACATTCTTTGCAACATTCTTTGATAGAAACATTCCTTGCAAATTCCTTCATATTTTTTTTCTCGCTGGGGGGTACCTAACGATACCTCATATTTGATTGAACTATATACATTAGTGAGGATACGTAGCGCTTGCTTAGTGCGCATGCGCGACTTTATTCCCACGACAGCGCATCACTGGTATGCACACGAGCGTCGTTCTATCTTTGTTATTGGTCGTGTTCAACAGAGAAAATCGCTCAGTAGCAATCGAATGTAATTGGCTCTTACTTTTAGAACCAACGAATCAACGTCGAGTGTTGATAGTAGTGTTTTCGAATGAACGGATAAGTTCAATTAATCACTATATTTTACTATGAATTCAAGCCTTTTATTGGCAGAGACGATGCAATGACGTCATTAATCGCTCTCGGAGCGATTAAACCTGCTACATTCGAAAACGCTATTATAGAATGAGGTTCTGTATGGCTTAAGCCCGTATCAGACTACGCATTGAAGATTGAGATTCAAGATTCAAGATTGAAATTTGACCAATCAGGATAAAGAAATTTTAGTCCCTTTTGTTCTGATTAGTCAAATTCCAATCTTTAATCTTCAATCTTCAATTTTCAATGCGTAGTCTGATACGGGCTTTAAGCTGCGTTCGGAAACATCACCCGTATGCACACGAGCGTCGTTCTATCTTTGTTATTTACTAAAAGTTGAACAAAGAT